TCACCTCAGCCTCCCAAAGGCGCGGGATTACAGGCTGAGCCACCGAGCCCAGCTAGACTGGTCTTGAATCCCCAGGCTCTGGCAGTCCTCTTGCCTCTGCCTCCCAAAGTGCTGGAATTTCAGGCATGAGCCATCACACCTGGCACATGGTCATATATTTTTAGTTGCAACTACGTGTAGGTACGTTAAGGGAGAAGGAACTGGAGATCAGCTTGGACCACTCTGTAAAGGGCCTTTCCTATATAAAAAAAAGTCTAGGGCATGTGAATGGATTTTTTGTTGTTCATAATTGGTGAACAGATAAAAAAAATTCAATACAGAGGAGACTTATGATACATTTTGTGTTGTGGGAAGGTCTACATGACAGCAAGTAGACTGTGGGAACCAAGAGAAGGAGTAAGAAAGTTTGAGCAGGTTACAGACACGTCCACGCACTCTTCCATCCCTACCTTGTAGCACAGGGCTCATTCAATAGTGAAGGGCAACAAATGTTGGCTGGCTCATAAACCAACTAAGCATCACATGAGAGCTCCAGAGGCAACAGGAATGAACGCAGCAATCTCTGAGAGGTTGAGAGAGAAATTTTCAATCACTGCAGATCTGGGTGAGGGAATATTTTCGGCCAAAGGATGGGTGTTGAAAGGCATCATGTCCAGTCCCAGGTCCTCTGCTGAACTATAGTCGGAGTAGAAAAGGGGGAACCTCAAGGCCTGAGGGGTTGAGAGCGTTCAGGGACCAGGAGCAGCTCAAGGATCCAACTCAGCACCACCATTAATGCTTGGGGTCCTGCCTAACCCCCAGCGTGAAAGTTCAGACACATTCTAGCTCAGGCTACATGACCAACCAATCCTCCTCATCCGCTTTTAGGAAATCCCTGTTCATCCTCCTCTGCTTTCTTGCTTTCTTTCTTTTACCCCATGCTTACCCTCAGCTGCTCCCTTTCTTTTTTTTCTTTTTTTTTTTTTTGAGTTAGAGTCTTGCTCTGTTACCCAGGCTGGAGTGTAGTGGCAAGCTCACGGCCACCCCAGCGTCTACCTGCCAGGCTCCGGCGATCCTTTCGCCTCAGCCTTCCAAGTAGCTGGAACCACAGGCATGCGTTACCACGCCCGGCTAATTTTTTAAAAAATTTATTGTAGAGATGAGGTCTCTCCACGTTGCCTGGGCTGGTCTCGAACCTGCAGCCTCAGGCAATCCACTCGCCGCGGCCTCCCAAAGTGCTGGGATTACAAGCTGAGCCACCTACTGCTCTCTTTCAGAGGATGGTTCAGCTTAGGACAATGTCAGGGCCAAAAGGATCACTCACTTGACTAACTTGATCAACTGCCTCACATTATAGACAAAGCACCTCCTTTCTTTCTTCTGACTCAGGGACAAGATGTTCTCTTTTCTTTTTCTTTTTTTGGGTCGGAGACTCACTCTCACCCAGGCTGGAGTGCAGTGGCATGCTGACGGTCACCACAGCCTTGACCTGCTGGGGTCAGTTGATCCTTCCACTTCAGCCTTCCAAGTAGCTGGAACTACAGGCATGTGCCACCACACCCCAGCTCGTTTTTGATTTATTGCAGACGGGTCTCATCATGTTGCCTAGGCTGGTCTTGCGCCCATGGGTTCAGGCAATCCTCTCACCTTTGCCTCCCAAATTGCTGGAATTACAGGCATGAGCCACCATACCTGGCAAAATGTTCTCTTTTCTAGCAAAGCCTAACTAACCCCTCTGCCTGTGCTGACAACCCTCCATGCATTCTTTTATTTATTTTGTTCACTTATTGTTAACTGTCAATAATTTATTACACACAGACACCATTCTAGGCACTGGGGACACAGATTGGACATAAAATGGGGCATCCCAGCTCTCATAGAACTGACATTATGGATAGGGAGGTAGAAAATAATCAGTGAGCCAACAGGTGAACAGAAGCTTTTAGATTTATAAGTGCTCTGAAAAAAATAGTAGAGTAATAAGTGCTTCCAAACACCTCTTAGGTTTTTTTTTTTTTTTAACTTGGCATATTTTATATTCAATGATTTAAGCTCCAAAGGTAGGAAGCATCCTGGGTTTGTCTCTCTCACTCATCCTTTACTTTTAATTACTAGTCACCAAGCAATCTGGATCCCAACTCTCAACGGCTGTCAAATCCATCTGCTCTTCTCTGTCCCAGGACACTTAATGCTGACACCATCACTTGTCAACCAAATTATGGCAGAATTCCCCTGGTCTCCTCCTTCTAGTCTTGTCCTCTTCCTTCATATTATGCTCTTGCTTAAAACCATTCAATGACTTTCTATAGTTTCTCCAGTCAGCTTCAACCCCATTAGTTTAGCATGCAAGGTGTGTCTTATATAGGTCCTATTGAACTCTTTAAACTTGTTTACCTATACTCACTCCCCTATACAGATTTGTCTTGTTTTGTTTTGTTTGAGTCAGGGTCACACTCTGTTGCCCAGGCTGGAGTGCAGTGGCATGATCATGGCTCACTGCCACTTTGACATCTTGGGTTCAGGCCTTCTCAGCCTCCAGAGCAACTGGGACTATAGATGTTCACCACCATGCCTGTTTAATTTTTTGATTATTTTGTAGAGACGTGGTCTCACTATGTTGCCCAGGCTGGCTTGAACTCCTAGGCTCAAGCAATCCTCCGACCTTGGCCTTCCAAAGTGCTGGGATTATAGGTATGAGCCACTATGCCTGCCCCCTATACAGTTTTCATTCATGCACATGTGCAGGTTCTACATGTCAAGGTGCTACGTACTCTCACACCTTTGATATATCCTTGACCTTACGTGATGTACCTCTTACTCATTCTTTTCTAGCTCCTTTGTTCAAAACTCTGACCAAATGTCACCTTATTAAGGAAGACCCTTTTTCTTATAATTACCAAGGAGTTCTTAGGAAGATTACATTGAGAATATATACAAAATCCTTAGTACAACTGGGCTCGGTGGCTCAGCCTGTAATCCCGTGCCTTTGGGAGGCTGAGGTGAGTGGATTGCCTGAGCCTACGGATTCGAGACCTGCCTGGGCAGCGAGACCTCATCTCTACAATAAATAAAAAAATCAGCCGGGCGTGGTCGCGCGTGCCTGTAATTCCAGCTACTCGGAAGGCTGAGGAGGAAGGATCACTGGAGGCCAGCAGGCTGAGGCTGCGGTGACCGGGAGCGGCCACTGCACTCCAGTCTGGGCGACTGAGTGAGATTCCAGCTCAAAAAAAAAAAAAAAAATCTTTAGTACAATTATGGCACTCAGTTTATATGCTGTTTCCCTGATGGAGTTTCTTGAATTTGGGACAGACATAATTAGCATATAAATAAAGTCTTCCTATTTGCAATGAAACCATCTCAGAATACAGACTCTGAGATGGAGACTTGTCTCCCTCATTGCTTTAATGAAATGAACTCATGTGCAAAAAATTTTTCTTGTCATTTGTGTGTTTATTGCTTGATACTTTTTATTATAATTTGAGCTGCTACACATTATTCTTAATGGCCTGGAAGTGATTCTGATGGATCATGAGATTGGAGACAAATTCCCTGGACATCACCATCCCAGACAGCACACACAATAATAATTCACTGCAGTTCCCAGCCCTGAGGGTTGACTGTCGCCATTTCCAGTTTCAGACTGCTTCTTGGCACATTTGCAGTTGCTCTCTATGCCCTGAGCACTGAATGTAGAACCCACCACTCTGCCACTCTCTCTGGAAAGATCTGGGATCACACATCTCCACCAAACCAAGATTTGTCAGGGATGTGGCCTCCCTGGGTTGACCTCTGACACTATAGCCGTGACATTTTATGGGTTCTTTAGGCAGTCTTTGTGAAAGGAAGAATAGATTTTCCCTTGGACACCTGTTCCCTGTGCAGGTTTCTCTCCCAGCACATGCACACAAAAACACACATCCAATTTTCAATCTCATTACTTGGTCAGACTCCCAGACTGTGCTGAGTCTGTGTCTCTCTGACCATGATAGTCCCTAGGAAGGGTAGGAAAAGATGCAGTTCTCTTACTTGCATTCAGGAGAGTACGGATCTTTTTCTCTTCTTCAGCTTCTTGAAGTAGTCTTTCTGCCAGTATCTTGTCCTCTGATTCTACACACACATCAGTTTCTCGAAGGTATTGTAAGTAGTCAACTTCCCGTTGCGCACGTTCAACTCTCAGTGCCAAGGTATCCACAGCACTCTTATACTCACTTGTGTAGGTCTGACATCTTCCCAGCATAGCAGATATGTTTTTTGAGAACTCTTGGAAGTCTTGAATGTATGCCCTTGTTGCTTGGGTACATTTTTCCAGCCCTTGCTTCAGTCAGAAAATAAATTTCCAAATTATTGCTAGTTACTTAAATTACCAAAATAATATAAATAGCTATCTTTCATTTAAAAATTAGAAAAATACAAATAATCAAAAGGAGAAAAATTAAAATCACCCATATTTCCTAAAATTAAAGATATTATTAATAATTTAGTATATTGATTTCTAAAAAGTTTCCTAAGCATTTAGTCATACATGTAGAAATATGTGGATTATGTATATATGTATTTTTGAGTCAGTGTCTCACTCTGTGACCCAGCCTAAAGTGCAGTGGCACAATCATGGCTCACCACAGTCTCAACCTTCTGGACTCACGATCCTTCCACCTCACCCTCCTCAGTAGCTGGGATTACAGGCTTGTGTCACCATGCTTGGCTAATTTTTTGACTTTTCTCACTAGAAGAGATCTCACTAGGTTGCCTAGGTTGGTCTCAAATGCCTGGCCTCAAGTGATCCTCCTGCCTCTGCCTCCTAAAGTGCTGGAATTATAGGTGTGAGCCACTGCACCCAGCCAAATAAGATTTTTTAAAATCTTATTTATTTTATTTTATTTAATTTATTTTTTGAGTTGGAGTCTCACTCTGTCACCAAGGCTGGAGTACAGTGACACACTCATGGCCACCCCAGCGTTGACCTGCTGGGCTCAGGCGATCCTTCTGCCTCAGTCTTCCAAGTAGCCAGAACTACAGGCATGCACTACCAAACCCGGCTAATTTTTTTTATTTGTTGTAGAGATGAGGTCTCACCAAGTTGCCCAGGCTGTTCTCGAACCTGTGGGCTCAGGCAATACCCTCACCTTGGTCTCCTGAAGTGCTGGAATTACAGGTTTTAGCCACTGCACCCAGCCAATAAGTATATTTTAAAATGCGATTTACTATGTATTTTTTGTATTATATTTGTAATTTGCCAAGATATAGATATATACTTATACCATAATTTTTTTACTTATACCATAATTTTAACAAGATAGAGCATTCCATTGAATTTATATCTATTATTTATTCTGTTAAGTTCTTTTTGATGTACTTGTATACAGTTTTCAAATTTTTGTCATTTAAAAACACGGAGAAGCCGGGCTCAGTGGCTCAGCCTGTAATCCCGTGCCTTTGGGAGGCTGAGGTGAGTGAATTGCCTGAGCCCGCGGGTTCGAGACCCGCCCGGGCAGGCAAGACCTCATCTCTACAATAAAATCAAAAAATTAGCCGGACGTGGTAGCGCGCGCCTGTATTTCCGGCTACTCAGAAGGCTGAGGCGGAAGGATCGCCGGAGCCCAGCAGGTCCAGGCCGCGGTGGCCGGGAGCGGCCACTGCACTCCAGTCTGGGCGACAGAGCGAGACTCCAACTCAAAAAAAAAAAAACGCAGAGAAAAAAATCTTTTATTTACATCTTCATGCATTTAGCTGGTTATTATAGAGTTCCAGAAGCACTATACCCACCACCTGGCAGAGGGCCAAGAACAATACTCAATAAATATTTGTTGACTGACGAATAAACGAACGGGAATGGAATTGCTCGATCAAAGACTATGCATACTTAAAGTTCATTTTGCACAGTTTACCAAAATGTTCTCTACTAATGTAAAAATGTATACTCCAAACAGCAATATGTAACACTGTTCATTTTGAAAGGAGAGAGGGGGAGGAGGAGGGGAGGGAGAGGGAGAAGGAGAAGGAGAAGGAGAGGAAAGAAGACAAAC